TCCAAAAAACCCGATAGAATTAGCATCGATCACGAAGAACTCGATCATTATGGTATGCATGAAAAGTTTCGAAGTCCATAATTGTCCCAGGATTCAACCTCCGCACCACCCTAAACCAACTTGGAAGTTCGTTGTAAGATGCATCTCATTCACCGTGAAGTTTTTTAATCGCACTCTGCATTGCCAACCATGCTTTTTTGTATGAGACGGAATACCTATATTGTTATTGTATAGCTGAAATCAACACAACAATAGCTATATGGGAGCTTGCTTTTACCATGGGCATGATGGCTTGGCAGATCACTTAAAAGTCCAAGTTGGGATGATCTTGGTTGATCCCTCAATTCCCATCTATTATTTTTCCTCTTCCTCTTCGATACACGAATTATTCAATTGCATCCGTTTTCACGTCGGACACAGTGACAGACATACTTTTCTGGTGTAGAGCGATCGACTCTAGAGTTAACAGAATTACGGATATTGTAATTTTTTATTGTCGTCATCGCTTCTTTTTTTCTTGAAAACTCAATGCCTAAATATAACTCACCATTAATTATTGATGAGTTAAATCCATAGTCACCGTGATTAGGAATATCCGCAAATTATGGCCCGTACATTGCACCATAGTCAGTTTCATACATGTGTGCTGGAGGTTCAGTTTGTACCACATTTGTTGGAACTTCATCTACACCATCATCATCATCGGAGTTGAACTGCTATGATTCTGGGTACGAATAGTCCAGTCTCAGCACCATCCGCACTTGGCTCCCGAAGCGGTTCTTTTGGTGGAGATGATGGTTCCTCCATGCTCTTCACATTTAGGTCGAAGAACCTACTACTTGCATGCCTTCCCCTTGAACTAGAAGGCATCTAGACATTGAGATCGAAAAACCTCGTAGTAGAATGCCTCCCCCTAGAGCTTGAAGCCATCATGTCAAACGAAAACTGCACAGATTGTTGCGTGGAGGGCATCTCCATATTTAGGTCAAATAAATTGGCAGATGAATGTCTTCCTCTTGAACTGGACGCGATGTTTCCATACATATTATTCGTGGATCCACCTCAGTACATATCCTAAGGAGTTGCTGATGAATGTCTCCCCATTGAAGTTGATGGGATGGCAACATGATGCGGATTTCCCATTATGACATTAAAATCATTACACATTACTGTAGTTGGGTTGTCAACTTGATCAGCTTGTTCAACCAGCCCATAGTGGGAGCTTAATGACAGACCTCGAACAGTACGCACTTCAACAAACTTTGCATACATCTCCGTATCGGCGTCTGAATAATGATTTTGAGAATCAACCATCATTTCAACATCATCATTGTTTGATAGTTCGAACGCTGTATAAGTTAACGGAAACAATGATGCTGGAAATATGTACTCAAGCGACGACATGCTTCTAGTACTTCCAACATGAACATTCCTTGAAATCTTCGTTATCAGCTACTCAAGAGTTATGTTTCTCTTGAAGGATATTTTAACATAATGATTTGATACGAAAACAACGCCGGTTTTATCTTCCCGAATTTCTCCATCATAATAAACAATAACTGAAATATGCGTCATTCTTATAGTTTGAAAGGGAAACAGTCTTATATCTGCAAAAAAAAAAAACCTGAAACAAGCCTAATTAAATAAATAATATATGAATTAAAATATAACGCAATAAAAATTTTACACATAAATGTAAATAATTTAAATAATATAATATTATATTATTATCGTATCGGTGAAAATATTTCGACGTATGCTCTCGTTTTCCAATTTTACAACCACAAAAATTAATTAAAAATAATTAGTACAATATTTTTTTTTTCAAATAATCATATATAATTATAAAAAAATATTATATTTTTAAAAAATTACCTTACTACGAAAGGTCGAACTAACTTCTGAATCAAAGATAAAAGGATTACCGGGTGATATTTACGGATTGACAGGTTTGTTGTGTGATTTTTCGGGTTGAGATGATTGTTGTGAATGTTTACGGGTTGAGAGCGTATTTATAGCTGAGAGAAAAGTTTAAAAGCTGAGAAATACGAATATAATTATACAAGGCGCGACCCATGCATCGTGCCTATTTGGCGCGTGTGGCAGGCGACCGTAAGGTGCGACCCATGCACCGCACCTATTTGGCTCGCGTATTAGACGACCGTAAGGCGCGGCCAATGCACCGCGCATTACCCTGCGTGGCACCACATCAGCGTAAGGAGCGATGCATGGGCCGCGCCTTACTCCACGTGACATCACATCAGCGAAGGCGTGGTGCATGGGCCATGCCTTACCTCACGTGGCGCAGCATAAGGCATGGTGCATGGGCCGTGCCTTTCTACAAAGGGTGTTAGATCAAAAAAAATTATCTCAAAGGATGTTTGACACTTAAATATTTAGTGAAAAGATAATTTTTCGAGAAAATCGCCCGCCATTTAACCAAAATCTTCTGTAGAAAAATGCAAATCTAATCTTTGTCTTGTGATGGAAGCAGAAATATATGTATGGTGTCCCATTTACGTGCTTTTGATGGCAGATTGTGAGAGTTTACCTTTCTAGCTTAGCAGCAGCCTGCCAATCTATGTTTTGTTTGCACTTTGCAGTATAACACCACTGCCATCCAATCAATCTTACTGCTTGACCCACGTAATCCCCACGTATTGATTAATCCAATCACTCTTGTTAGGCCACGTGTCCTGATGAACTTTTTCTCCCTCAAGCTAAACACAATGGGAAACACAAAGTGCATGACCTTGCAACCGCCATTGCTTCTTTCTCCATTTACTTCGGAAATTATTCCATGTTTGAATTTTGGGGGTTCGTAGGACACTCTCAGTCATGATTATCATCGCTGATGGTTCATGCAAATTGTGACGCAAGTGGGAACTAGAATTAGCTAGGGAAATGATTCCTTTTTCTTTTTTCTGAAACATCTCAACACTTGCTTTGTCAAATCCAAGGTGCTTGGGGTTAAAACTGTTCTCACCAAAGTGCACGTCAAATATCTGCACTGCACCACTAAACACCAAAACTCACTCTCTCCACCCACTCCTCAGGTTCATAGCCTTAGCTCATTTGCTGCAGCACGAAAACACAACATCGAAATGTTTAGACCAGACAACCTTTTTTTTCTTGTGGGATGGGGGGGGGGGGGCTCAGTGAGGGTTTTTCATTTCAGTCTCTAAGATTCCCGTGATGCAATGAGTTTTAAAAGTTGAAACAAACAACACCTTGTTCGACGCTTACATAACAGATGGGCTTTGAATAGGTTGTGTGGTATTTAGATGAATCCCAAGTAAAACCCTATTTCTGAATGCAAAACTTATGGTATACAGACAAATTTAGAAGCCTACAAGACACACAGATGTTCATTAGTTATCATGACCCTGTCTCTTAGTTTTTTCATTTGTCTCTTTACAACATCTTCTCTTGTCAAAGAATCAAAGGAGGGTTCACACTAACCATATCGCATAATATGTGTGTAAACTACCCTCATAAATTAAAACTCCATGGCCCCTGCCCCGGTTGGTCAGTAATTAATCATTTAAAATCTCAACAACATTTACATAAAAAATGTAAATAACATTAAAGGTTTTGAACCGAGTCTTGCATGCATGAAGTACAGCTGCCCGCCATTGACAAAGGTTGTGTCTCATGTGCTTTAGAATCCCAAATCTCAATAGTTTTCTGGCTTGCTGAATGGTATATCAGTTAAGGAGATTAAAGCGACTTTCAAATTTGTTCATGGCCATCGAGGAGATAACCAGGGGCGTGGTTGAGGGTGTGCTGGGTGGGCGACCGCGTAGGGCCCCAAAAAATAGGAGCTCTGAAATCGAGTATATCTATCAGTTGTTTCTATTAAGAAGCATAAAAATAGAGATTTCAAAATTGAGTATATGTATCAGTTGTTGCCATTAAGAAGCATAAAAATAGGGGCTCCGAAATCGAATATATCTAAAAAATAAGGGCTCCTTATAAGAATTTACACAGGACCACGACAACTTAGCCAAATCTAATTGCTTAGAGATGAGATACATAATTCCAAGCAAAACAATTATGAGCTTCATATCATTAGTTTCATATCCCACGTTGTAGTATTAGATTTCGGATATATAGTCATACTCTTTAATAAAAAAAGGAAAGAAATATTTTGATATATAGTCAATTATAACAACATAAATAATATTATAAACTCATTTTAGTTTAAAAATTTAAGCTAACAATAATTAATTTTATACGGAGATTTAATGAAACTTTGGAAAAGGATGTTTTAGACAATTAAACAAAATAAATCCTCTCATTTTAGTTAAAATGATTCTCTAAACTCTAAATACAGGAACCGTTATCAGCCTTTAGAAGGGGTGGGTTTTTCTGAGTGTAAAGTATATATATAATAAGAAAAAATGAGTTTTATGTTTAACTCTACTTGCGGAAGAAAATATGCAAACTAAAACGTAAAATAAGTTAAAAGTAGGTATAATTTGCAACTGATATGCTTATTTCATGAACACAAAAAGTAAAATAGCATATAATCATGCACATTGCTTAACAAGAAATTAGATAATACACCGGTCCAGAAAGTTTTCATACTACATATCCATCACACACACACACACATATATAAAGAGAGAGAGCTCTAAGCACTAGCTAAACCTAAATTTCAAACTTGAGATTAGACTTGAGAGAGAAATGATGGTGGGATCAGAGCGAGATAAAAGCTTTCACTCTAAACCTGCAATTCAAGAAAACAACAGACTTATTAACGAGCTCAGTTGGTAAGCAAAAGCTTCCAGCTTTTACACGAGGAAAAATATCCCTAGTGACTCTGATCTCTTACACGAGGAAACAAGCTATCATGCACATTATCTAACATACAAATAGTGTAATATATACATATATATTACACGTTATACCCCATTGCAGAAGATCGATATAAATTTTCTACCCATATGCCGTACAACAAAACTTGACTACTTAAGGTTTTTGATGGTTACCTTTCCTTAGATGGAGAAGGGGGTTAATGAGCGAACCAGATAGTAAAATCCACCATTTTGAAGGGATTGAAGGGTTAACCCCCACTCGTTTGTGAGAACAGGTTGACCAGAGGAGTTGATCAAGATTGCATCATCACCAAAAGCCTCCCTCACGTTGAAGGGACATACCGTTACCTCAAACGCTACATCATTTATAAACACCGTCGATCTACCCAGATTGCCAGGCTCCACTGTGGCCGATTCCCCAACACCTGCCAATCACTCAACATAAAACACCAAACCACTAGTCAATTTCCACAGAGAAACAAGCCCATGCACACGTTCGTCCGTAGACAAATGATGCCAAATCCCGGTCCTAAACGACATCTTTATCCTCTTCCTTTTTCTACTAATAAAGATACACCCTTATGTTAATATCCTCACTTGTGAAAGAAGAAAAAATAAATTACCATGAATGTGTTGAATAATAGATGGAACAGTAATTGTAGCACTGGAGGAAGCAGTGTGAGGGGAAATAGAGTGAGTACAAGGGGCTAAACTCACGATATAATGCACTCAAAATAAAGAATTCACGAAATAACGTTATCCCAATATTATTTGCTGAAATAGGGCGAAATCAACAGTGTGGCCGTAGGTCGCCATGCCTTCCGGGCGACCTACGACGTGGCTTGCCATGCACAACCCAACCATAGGTCGCCATGCACTCCCAGCGACCTCCTAGGTCGCCATGCACGCCCGGCGACCTAGGAGGTCGCCATGCACTCGGGGCGACCAAGGATTCATGCATGGGGAGATCGTGCCATGCACTCGGGGCTCGGTTCATGCATGGGGCACTCGAGGCGACCAAGGATGACCAAGGAACGATTCATGCATGGGACACTCGGGGCGACCAAGGATCGGTTCATGCATGGGAAGAATGGGGAGATCGTGCATGTGTAGGTCGCCATGGAGTCCCGGCAAGGTCGCGAGCAGGCGAGCATGCAGCAGGGCATGGATGGGCGTGCATGGGCGTGCTCCTTTGGCGAGATGGGCGTGCATGGCGACCTGGTTGGTCGCCGAGCGTGCATGGCGACCTGGTTGGTCGCCGGGCGTGCATGGCGACCTACCCCCGGTACTGTAGAGGACACTACTTTAGCAATTAATCTGGCGATCCCACTATTTAACGAATAAAAAAATTTCAACGCACTATCAACGAGATTTTGCCGAGTACAAGGAGCAGTTGTCACAGTACTGTAACTATGCTGGAGCTGCATATTCATCCTTTCCTCTTGTTCTTTCCTTGAATCCCCATGGCTTAATATCTCACTCAACAATAGACTTGTACAGGGTCCAACTGGTTGATCAGGGACTTGAACCACATTGGTTAGCTCTGATAAGCCAAACGCTTGTGTGAACCCGGCTCCAGCAGTAGACTGTTGCATGGGAAAGAAGAAAGGTTCGTTCAAGAAGTCGTTCTGAGGCTGATGAAAGTAGAACTGTTTCACAGAAGCAGTTGGAGAGTTGGAAATATCGATGACATTTGTAGAACTCAAAGAGAGAGTACTGCGGTTAGCTCCTTTGGGTGAAGATTTCTCGGATGAGGAAGATGAAGAAGACGGTGCAGTGATGGGAGGGGTTTGTTGGTTTTGCTGGGATTGTTGTTTAGAGTTTTTGAGATTGCGAATCTTGTGTTTGCTTCTTGATTTTCTGTTCTGGAACCAGTAAAAGACATTGGCATCCCCTACTTGGCCATACTCTTGCAGTTGAGCTCTGATTTTCCTGATCTCATCCCTAGGTGGGTTAACCATCCCGGTGTTGAATATGCCTTCCAGTATGCGAATTTGTTCAGGCTTCGGGTTCCATCTCGGTTTAGGCTCCGGACTACGCTCTTCACACCCTGCAACTATTGCAGACCACATTTGCATCTTGTCAATGATTCAAACAACATATTTTTCCTAACTAGGGTCACGTCAACATAAAGTTATGAACATCGGTTTTAAAGGAGCAAATTAATGAAATAACCGACGACATATTTAAGTAGGTAAAGACAAATCCATCATGACTTAAGTAGAATTGTTCAAGACACAGATTAAGCTTCTTACTTACCAGAGGTGTAAGGGGCTTTTTGGCAACCAGTTGACATGAGAGACGAGTTGATGTCATGCTGCCATTGGTGGTGAGTATTGCAGGGCTTGGATTTGAACATGCTAGGCCAGTGTCTGTTTGATGAAGACATGATGATCGATGCTGGTGATAATGGACAAAATCTAAGTTAGATATCTAATCCAAAGTATCCCAAAAGAGAAAAAAGAAAAACAACACAATTGCCCCTTTGTTGTTCTAGTTTAAGGAACTGCTTTGCTCTAGGGCAACATATTTAACATCTCTTTTTATAAGCCTCCTCACCTACTCCCTGTGATATTTTTTTTTTATGAATTAAAAACTGTCATGAGCCATATTCCCATCTCCCAAAGAAAATAAATAAAAACATTTAATAGATTTTCTTTCTTGATAAATTAAACCATGTAACTGGCAAAACCCACAACAGGAGTCCCCTTGAATAAGATAAAAAAAGAAAGGAAATCAAAATAAATGAAAAGGGGAAGATTGAAAGTACTCTCCCATACCCTTCCTTACAGTTTTAAATGTCAAAACAAAAAAGAAAGTACGAGCTAATTCCCCGAAACAAGAAGCAAAAGGGATCAAGGATATCAATACATGTTTGGTGCTTAATTAGAATCTTCCATCAATGGTGAAAGAGAAAGTGAAGTAAGGTTTGAAGACTCCAAAGAGTAGAGAAAGGAAGAGGAGAAAAAAGAGGGCTTTTTCGTTGTTTTTTTTAGCTTTAGAGAAATGGGTTATTCTGGTCAGTCTGTCTCTCTTATTTTATGTATATGTATATATATATTGGAATTCTCTTGGGTTTCTGCTTGCACTGCATTAATGGAAGGGTGTAGGGGGCAGATGTAAGCATAGGATTATTCTAATGGAAAAGGTTGTTGAAGAATAAATAAGGGTGTTTGAAAGTCAAGGGGGACGTATAGATTCTAGGGGTTTTTTATACTTTGGTTGGTATCAGAGTGGTGTAAAGTAGGGGCCGAGGACCATGGAATATAGATTGATTGACTCGAGGGCTTTATTTATTTGCATGTTTCTTTCTTCTTTTTCAAACTTTAATCTTTCACATTTATGGATTTTCTTCCTCGTATTCATAGAATCATAGTGATTTAAATTGCTTAGTTTCATGATTAATTAAGAGGGGGCAAAAACATTTGTTCACTATTATTCAGGAGACATATATTAGCATTTTGTACTGAAAGAATATGTTGACGAAAACGGGTAAAGAAAACGAAAGAACACGAGAATTTTACGAGGTTCGGCAATGTGCTTACGTCCTCGGTGCCTAGGCGGCGCTAGAATTTTATTCAATGATATTTTAGGTCTAGGTTACATCTCTATTTATAATAGAAAACCCTGGTACATAATTACAAAATCAACCCTGTACCGTACCGCGGGGGCTGCGCCCCCACACCCCCAACCCACATAATTCGTAACCCCACAACGAGACTTTTTATGAGCCATACATAACAAATCTCCACCTTGACGAATATCCTGCCCCTTGGAAACTTCAATGTGGGTTGGGTTACCTTGCTTCTTTAACAACTCGAAACATTCAACAAGTCCAAGCAATGCTTGAACTTGTCTGTCGTAACTGGCTTGGTGAACATATCAGCGGCATTCTCATCAGTATGTACCTTCTGAAACAAAACCTCTCCAGATGCAACCAACTCTCTGATCTTGTGGAACCTTACATCAATATGTTTAGTTCTAGCACGATACACCTGATTCTTAGCCAAATGAATAGCACTTTGATTATCACAAAGCAACTGAACTCCACCTTGTTGAACACCCAACTCCTTCACTAAACCAGTAAGCCATAAAGCTTCTTTTGCAGCTTCAGCCGCTGCCATGTATTCAGCTTCAATTGTAGATAGTGCCACGACAGATTGAACAGTAGACTTCCAACAAATAGGCCCTCTACCAAGAGTAAACACATACCCTGTCGTAGATCTTCTATTATCCAAGTCACCTGCATAATCTGAATCCACATATCCTACAACCAAAGGATTATCCCGCTGACTCCCAAAAACAATTCCATGTCCCACAGTACCCTTTAAGTACCGAAAGATCCACTTGACTGCATCCCAATGTTGCTTACCAGGTTTAGACATGTACTTACAAACTTGACTAACAGCATGAGCTAAATCAGGACGAGTACATACCATCGCATACATCAAGCAGCCAACAGCATTAGAATACGGAACCTTTGCCATATTTCAGCTTCCTTATCTGTCTTAGGGCACTGTTCTGATGAGAGCTTAAAGTGATTCGCCAATGGAGTGCTAACTGGTTTCGCGCTGCTCATCGCAAACCTTTCTAGCATTTTCTCAACATAACCCCGTTGAGATAGCCGCAGTTTCCTTGAGTCTCTGTCCCTGCAAATTTCCATTCCAAGAATTTTCTTTGCAGCACCTAAATCTTTCATATCAAATTCCTGACTCAATAAAGTTTTCAAACCGATAACATCATCCATGTTCTTCGCAGCAATCAACATATCATCAACATACAGTAATAGAAAAATAAAAGAACCATAATCAAGGCTCTTAACATAGACACAACAATCATACTCACATCGGTTGTAGCCAATCTTGATCATATAGGAGTCAAACCGTTTATACCACTGTCTCGGAGACTGTTTTAACCCGTACAAAGATTTCTTCAATCTGCAAACTAAATGCTCGTTTCCAGGTTGAGTGAAACCTTCAGGTTGCCGCATGTAGATCTGCTCCTCTAAATCACCATGCAAAAAAGCAGTTTTAACATCCATCTGCTCTAAATGCAAATCCCAACTAGCCACCAATGCAAGTACTGCTCGGATTGAAGTGTGCCTGACCACAGGAGAAAAGATTTCATCATAATCAACTCCTTTCTGCTGTGAAAAACCCTTCGCTACCAAACGAGCCTTGAACTTCTCCCCCTCTTTTTCTGTTACTGCTGGTTTCTTCTTATACACCCATTTGCAACCAATCGACTTCTTACCCTCAGGAAGGGGAACTAACTCCCATGTGCGATTGTGATTCAAAGACTCCATCTCCTCAACCATGGCTGCCATCCACTTGTCGTTTTCCTGACTAGTAACGGCATCATGAAAAGTAACTGGATCATCATTGCTAACAGTAAGTGCAAAAGATACCAAGTCTTCAAAACCCAATCTGTTCGGAGGCTTTATATTCGTCCGTCTCACCCTGTCTCTGGCGAGACTATAATCCTGCAAATCATCCGTAGTGGAACCACCAGAAGTCGGTTCAGAAGTTTCTGGTTTCTCAACTGGAAACTGCTCGAAATCTACCACTGTCGTGTCTTGCTTCTGCTGCAACATAGACTGTTCATCAAAAACGACATCTCTACTAATCACAACTTTCTTCGCAACTGGATCCCAGAACTTGAATCCTTTGACACCTTTCTTGTAACCCAGAAAAATGCACTCCTTCGATTTTGCATCAAGTTTGGATCTCTCATCAGCAGGTACATGCACATAAGCAGGACAACCAAAAATCCGTAAGTTATCAAAACTAACATCATGACCAGTCCATACCTCTTCTGCAACTTTCCCAGCCAGCGATGCCCTTGGCGATCTGTTGATAAGGTAACACGCCATGTTAACAGCCTCAGCCCAGAAGTGTTTGGGAAGCCCCGCATTCAACCGCAAACATCTGGCTCTTTCATTCAACGACCTGTTCATTCGTTCCGCAACACCATTCTGTTGTGGTGTCTTGCGCACTGTAAAATGCCTCTGAATCCCATGCTCCTTACAGAATTGTAGGAACTGTGAATCTGTGTACTCCGTACCATTGTCAGACCGCAAACACTTGATTTTTCGTCCTGTTTGGTTTTCTACCTCAGCTTTCCACAGCTTGAACTTCTCAAAAACTTCAGATTTCTGTTTCAAAAAATACACCCAAACTTTCCGTGAAAAATCATCAATAAAAGTAACATAGTACCTAGATCCACCCAAAGACGATGTCGTGGAAGGCCCCCATACATCAGAATGCACATAATCAAGAATCCCTTGAGTTGTGTGCTTCGCAGTCTTGAAACGGACTTTAGTCTGTTTACCAAGAACACAATACTTGCAAAAGTCGAGCTTACAGCTTTTGACACCATGCAACAAGTTTCTCTTGTGTAATTCTGCCATACCACGTTCACTAAGATGAGCAAGACGCATATGCCACAATTTTGTCGTATCATCACAGGACTCAACAGAGTGAACTCCACCTGCAACGGTACTCCCTAACAATCTGTAGATATTCCCTGCAGTCATCTTGCCTTTCATCACAGTCAATGCTCCTTTAACAATCTGAATGGTTTCCCTATCCTCGTCAGCCTTAGGGATAAAACCATTCTTGTGCAAAGTGCCCAAGGAAATCAAATTCTTCTTCAAGTCTGGGATATGTCGAACACCACTCAACATCCGAACGGAGCCATCGTGCATCTTAATTCTGACATCACCAATACCAACAATATTGCAACATCGATCATCACCCAAATAAACCGAACCAGAATTAACCGGCCTGTATGTCGAAAACCATTCCCTATTTGGCGTGATGTGATAAGAACATCCAGAATCAAGAATCCAAGCATCCGTCAATTGTGTCGTTGAAATAGAAAGCATATAACCCTCACTGCAATCAGAATTATCATCATCGACCACGTTCACAGACTTGGATGAGCCATCACGCTTCTCATCAGTCTACTTTTTCAACTTCGGACAGTCTCGCTTCATATGTCCCGCCTCCTTGCACTTGTAACAGTGAATCGTCTTCTTATCCCTGGATTTAGATCTGGAATTCCGCTTCCCGGACCCTGCCTTCTCTGGCTTCCGTCCACGATCTCGATTACCCTTGACATATAAGCTATCGGCTTGAGAGCTTTCCCCTGCATTCTGCTTCCGCTGGTTGTGAGCCAACAAGGCTGCAGTAATCTCCTCAACATTGATAGTCTCTTTCCCATATGTAAGAGTAGTCACCATGTGTTCGTAAGAGGAAGGTAACGAACACAACAGAATCATCGCTCTGTCTTCATCCTCAATTTTCACATCAAGCCGAGCCAGATCAGAAACGATTTGATTGAAGACATTCACGTGTTGCGCCAAATAGTGATCGTCCTGCATCTTCAGCCCATACAGCCGCTGCTTCAGATACAGTTTTGTCGTTAAGGATTTGGACA